TATCCTACACTACGGACGCCCTAGTGTATGCACAGTCCTTGTGATGCCAGAAATGCTTACCCCTCTTTCCAGCACAAGGCATACATAAGCGGGGGGTAAATTTACCCCTAGATTTGCAATAACCATACACCGGCTATTTCCTCAAGACACTCTATTCCATATACCTTTTACCCGTGCTTCTCCTACACTACCCCAGTGTATGTACAGTCCGTATGATGTCAGAAATGCTTACCCCTCTTTCCGACTCAAGGCATACAAAAGCGGAGGGTAAATTTACCCCCCAGATTTGCCGATCACGCATCTTCGTGCCTGCCAACGAGTGCACCCGGGTTGTTCCAATGTACCCTTCCCAGTCAGCGATGTCACATTTACATTCTTTAGCGCAAAGTATGTACATAGCAACCTTCCTCCCAAAACATGTAATCCCTACATGCTTTGCCGACTATGTAACTAGTACATCCGGTGCGATTCGGCTAGCTTTCGACCTCTCCTGAAGTAGTCGATAGCCATAGGTAGGAGGACGACTCAAGAGCTGGGGCAGAGTGGGATAGAGACTGCAGAGTGCTCCGTTTAGACTTTAGACCTGAAGATAAGGCAGCTCCATGTTTTCTGGAGACTTGTGCTGCTCAATGCCTTGCACTGAAGATCCTGGCCGCGGACACAGCACAAAGTTTGCAGCGCCGCCAAAGATGGCCGAGGATACTTTCCTTGGCTCCAAAGGATCCAACAAAGCAAAAACAGCACAAGATGCCTTTCTTTGAGAAGGTCAATATGATTTATATCCAAAGCCGTGCAAAGAGTCGGCGAAATGGGAAAACAAGGGTGGAAGATGTGTTTTTCACAAGTCTTGGGATACCGGCAATACTTGCAGGATTATGGCTCTGAATCTCTTACCTGGGTTTTGAACCACCTTTTTAAATCAACATTTGTATTTTTTTGTTTTGGGTTTAGTTTCAGACAAAATGAGGCCACTACCTTTGGATTGGGACATTTTCATAACACATGTTTTTTTTTTTCCGGTAGCACCATTTCCAATGCCAAGCACGATGAGTGCAGTTTCTTTTTTAGTTTGGCATACTAGTAGCAGGTAGATGTAAAAGCTGCCTCTTCGTGGGCCAAATATGTGGGGTAGAGCCGTGTGGATTTTCTTCGCTTACCAGCTGTTTCCATCGTCCCAGCCAAAAAGTCCGGTTGCACTTCCTGCCCGAACAGCACTTTGATCTCCTGAAGCCCCTGAGGGATTGTTTCTGTCGCGCTGTTTTTACCCGGTTGTGTCGATTCTTCTTCACGCTGCTCGAAGTTGAAGCTGTGGCGATGAAGGTGACATCCTCCTCTTCGTGTGCACGAGATGATGTGGAGACCAGATGCCAGGAATTTCTGGTGTTGGAGTCTGTTGGTCTGTTGGAGTGCAGGCTTCTGTGGCAAACTTCCAAGCTACAGTAATGTGAAAGATGACCCAAAGATTCTGATTCTGCTTTTGAATGTTTGACCTTTGCTCACTGTTTCTTCGACTTGTTGAGAGCTCAAGATCTACTAAGCACATGCTTGCACTTCCCCCAAACAAACCATTAGCTGTTGTCATGTTGAGCAGCCAGGATCATGGGCCAGCCACGGTGGCCAGTGATAGGTCCTTATATTGTTTGTGTCTTAGGAATATCATCAGCAGTTTAAACAGCTGAGCTTAGGCAGGAATAGTTATTTGCATGGAGGTTGGAGGCGTCGGCGTTGCCAAGTTGTTCTCGGGGGTGGTGGAAAGACACATCTTAGTAAAGTTGTTGGTTACACCATCTCCCTTCAGCCGGGGACGGTCTTGACAAGGCCCAAGACTGTAGTAGCAGGTCCTGGGGTTCGATCAGTGTACAGGCAGATACGGGAACAAATCGCATCCGCAAGGACACCTCCTAGTTTTCGGAAGCAGACTTCTACAATCCGATGCAACCCTTGAGCTTCTTGACCTTGTCACAAAGTCGCAATGTGCTTTAGCTTGCTCAAATCACGTGCACGAATCAGCGATGTGCAAAAGAAGGTCTGACGGAGATATAGAATACTGTTGCAATTGTTTTGGATGCAATGAGCTTTGTGAACCGGTAAAGTAGTGGTGGATTAACATTGTAAAGTAGTGGTGGTCTTTGCATGAATCAAGACGCCATGGGATGAACCTGCACGATGAATTGGCTCAGGCAACAGACCCCTTACCAGCCCTTCCATGGCCCCAGCCAAAACATGTGTCAGTCGATAGGAGGGACTGCCTTGGTTCATTATGATTTGTCGTGAATCACAGTGACAGAGTGCAGAATTATTTTGTGGATAGCCCGGGTGCTTGCAGGGTGACGAGTCATTTGGATCTTTGCGGGACTTGGAAGACGCTTTGGCAGAGCTAGAGGAACAGAACAAGCGACTGGAAGAAGATTGCAGAGATCTGGAGGCACTATGGATCAAGCGGTGAGATTTGGGGCTGCGGGCTGGTTGCAAGACTGCCAGGTGTGAGGCTTTGTTTCTTGTTCCCTCAGCTGGCCATAGCTCGCTTGTGGAAGCATCGACCAAGTTTTGTGGAGCGTAGGTCTTGCTTGAGGCAGGCCCGCCTCAACCAGTCATATATTGACAAAAGCAGGCGCTGGTGATGATCCGGACCCCTCCGATACGACCCACACCAACGAATTCAATACCAATCTTTTGCTCACTTCCACACGCTGTTTGGCAGGCCAATGCGGGCAATCCTTCAAAAATGCACCAGCAAATACTACAGACACATGTACGGAGAACAATGTGTTCGCCACAGCAAGAATGCTGAGAAGCTCCTCTCGGGCATTTTTTGCATCATCATCCTTTTGTGCACGGTGTTATTCTGCTCTACCCTTTTGCAGATACATCAACTTTCCAACACTCCAAACATATCTCATGACCTCTTCACTTCTCCTCTTCTTACTGCTGCGTGGTTCACTCGTGGGTGCCCGTGAGGCACATTGCCGGGACTTGGAGAGCGAAGGCTACCCCTCGCCCTACCCGGTGGATGAGCTCCTGGCGGTGTCGGCGACGCTGTCCGCGCCGCGCGCGACGCACCGCGCCGTGGCGACCCCGGAGGTGGCGCGGGCGAGCCATCGCGCGGTGGGCGGCGCAGCGGTGGTGGAGCTCCAGTGGCCGCAGGCCTCAAGACATGGTTCATATAGGGATAGAGATGATCAAGTCTGAAAGCAGAAAAGGCGTCATGTTGGACTCACAAGATGTTGATGGTTGATGATTTTGTTTTCGATGTTGACACTCTTGAAGTTGATTTGCAAGATGTGACATTCGAGCTCAGTACTTGAAGCTCCTGTTCTTTGCGATGGCATGCTTGTTTTAGTTTTGAAATCTCCGGGACTCGTTTGTTCTTTTGCACGGGTATCATTTTAAAGCTGTTTAGCGAAAGGCACTGATTTTCCCTCGTAGTAGAGCCTTTGCATGCTGAGGCAGAGGAAGAGTCTCGCGATGCTCAGATCCAGGAGCTCCTAAAAGCCCGTGACTTGGCTGGGTTTTGTGCAGAAGAATCGCCTTCGGTTTGGGGTTGTATTAAAGTAGGAAGACCTTACAAAGACCACCTGGAAGTCTCCCTGTTAAACAGACACCCAGCACCACAAGCCCCCCCAAGGACCTGCACTGCGAAAGGGAGAGCTGAGTTGTAGCAGTTTAACCACTTGTGTGTCCAACAAGTTTGGAAGCTTGGGATCAAACACGAACATTGCTTATTCAAAGGAGAGCTGTTGCATTCTTGATCATTTTTGATATGCCTTGGTCCGGGTACTGCAAGGATGTGTCGAACTAGCCTGCCAGGTGCAAAGTCCTTTGCTGCCATGGCTGAGATGCAAGAGCGTTGCAGCCATCAACAAAGTGCTTCTTGGTGGCAGCAAGGCCATTGTCGTTTGTGCTAGAGGAGTGTAGGGCTACCAACTTGTATCCATAAGCTTTTGTTTGCTCAGGGTGTTTTCATTCTTTGATGTCCCAACTACGTCTTTCACTTCAGGAGATGGAGAGGTTGCTCAAGGAGCGAGACAAGCTTCATGACGATCTGTCGTCATCCAACAAACAACAGCAGCAGCTCAGGCACCAGCTGCCCCTTGGCACTTTCTTCCATGTCATGTGCTGTCGTCACCCCATGTGATTGGCAAGATGCCCTATGTTTAGTTTATCTCCTGACACAATCTTTGCTCCAATACATGTTGAGTGGCCAAAGCTGAGGCAGGAACTGCGAGAGCAGGCGCCTTGGCCTTTCTGAACTATTTTGCTTGGCTACTCTGCCACTCAAGACAGCTTTTGGAAGTCCCGAAACAACAAACAGAGGTGGAGCAACAGGATGACTTGGAGACGATGAGCCATACCACTGGTGAGGACTCGTCTGTGGCAGACAGTCAAGGATTGAGCCTTCGTCAGACAGAGAGGTAACTTTTTGGTGAACTCTTCACGTGGAGAGGACTTTTCCCTGATGATTCCCTGAAAGGTCCTTGCAGAGTTTCTTTTGTGTGTGTTTCTTCTTCTTGTACCACAAAGGCAGCCCTTTTTTTGAAGAGTTTTGTGTTGGTCAATGCCAGAAACGACGCCAGAAAAGACCGTTAGCAGGACTAGACGGCCACATGCCTGACCTTTGAGGTCCCGACGGCCACGCAAGAAGCGGAACCATTTCGGCCGTGGCTTTCAACAGCCCAAATGCCTGGATGAGGGGGTGGAAGTGCCGGTGCCAATGGCTCCTTTGGCGTTTAGAGTGACATCAGGAGCTAGGAGGAGGGTGCTGGTGATTGCTGGTTGATCAAGTCGATGTGCATGGCGCCATGCACGAACATTTGGGTTTCTTCTCTCCGTTTTCGTGGCTCAGGCACGGCAACAAAGGACACCTTGAGGGTTTCGCCTGTGAGGGTTTCTAAATATTGCCTTCGCAGCTAGAGAGCTGAGCTTAGGCAAGTGATCCCACGGAAGTTTTAGTTCGAAGCTTGGCTCAGAGAGCGCAGGTGACTCGGCTGCAGACATTTGGACGACCATCCCGTCAAAGAAACTTGTATGAAATGGTATGAGATTGAATTTGCTTGCCTTGCGGCATGATCATGCGAACTACCTGATTAGACCCTGTGGGTAGTGGAACAAGGTGATTGATACACTGTGAGATACTTTACAGGATCACTGTGAAATTTAATTTGCTGATCCGACATGAGCCGACAGTTTTCTCATTGATATAGTCTTGGATAGTCTTGGTGATTTCATTGTCAGACTCGTTGGTATTCAGGCCAATTCTTTATGGTATGAAATGCTACTTGGCTACAAGAGAGGAACTGAAGCAGCTTTGAAGGCTCAGTCGAATGGTGGTGTATGAGCAGAAATAGTAATTACAGCCTTGTGGGGCTTCCTGTTCTTCGTTTAATCTTGTAGCCAAGTGTGCTTGCTGGATATGGACGGCAATCGGTAGCATATCCCTAGCAACTTCCCACCTTTGCTCTTAAGATCCCTCAGAATGGCTGCACAAGGATTTTCAAGGCTCTTCAGGTTATATCTGCTCGATCCTCAGTCAATGTGAGGATCATTTTTCTCCTGGAGAAGGCTGGAGAGGATGGTCTGCCGAGCACTAGCTCAGGGGGAAACCTGCGGCAAGAGCTGCAAGTGATGGCATACCAAATCGAAGCCCGGAAGCTAAGCTGAACTCAGTGGCTTATCGTCACAGTCCATGTCCAGAAACAAGATATATATATATATACACATACATATACAAAAATACATAGTCATATATATATATATACACATGGAAACATACATCTCAATGGTATATATATAGTATATTTATACACAGTATATATATATATACACACCACTTTCTTGACACTCTTTTTTTGCAGTGGGATTGCAGTTGCAGACAAACTTGTAGTCCTTCCTGATGGTTGTATGAGCCAGAAGTGGCAGGCGAATATTCTAGACTCTAAACAGTCTTCCGGGAACGTCCTGATTGGGAACATCACAGGACTTTCAAAGGCCGGGAAACTCCCAAACGAACGGGATGGCCATTGGGCTCATGCATGAACGCCTTTACTGGCCCTAGGCTGAACCAGCTGGGTGGACCCAGCCAGGAAGATGAGGGGGTGCTGGAATCTGTTCTCAAGACAGTGGGCAAAGTCACTGACCAGGCGTGTGGATTTCAAACACAGGCCTTTCGATGCATCCTGGAATCCTGTATGGCTATGGGTGGAAGCTTGACCCCCCCAAGGCCCATAGCTAGTATCCCCCCCTATACGTCTTCACGACTTTGGTTTCGATTGTTCTGTTTTTGTTTCACGTGCTGTACTCAATGGAAGCGCTGTGAGGTTGTGGACTCCGCAGTGTTGTACGTCGACCAGCAAGTCTCATCACCGGCCAACACATCCAGGGCTGGTTCTCAGTGCACTGATGAAGCACGAACGCCAAGAGGAATGGCCCGTGGCATGTCACAAGAATCTCTAGCCAGAGCCTCAGTCGAGGCAGTCAAGTGCAACATGTTTGGTCCGGTGTGTACAAAAGTCTTTTTGGGCCGGAGATTTCAAAAGGTTCCAGGACACACCAGAAATCAAGTCCAGTCAGAGTTGCTTCCTTCGGACGCAGATGTCCTTTAGGCCTCAGGCAAGTGATATGATCACATACATGACTGGAAATTTGGCTTTACTGATTATGCTTACATTATGTTTCTCACAATTGAACTTTGCTGATTTTGATTCTGATGTCGACCCAGGGTGCCAAGCAAGCTACTCCAGCACGCCAGCGCTTGCAGGCTCGTCGTGATCGAAAGAGTGTGGCAAGCACTTTGGCGGCCAATGGAGTGGGGAAGAGTTCGGTTCTGGGAGCCATGGAATCGATTCCTCGTGTCTCACGCAGCTTCCACCATGGTTGTTTCATGTGGTTGTTTCACGCGGTGCAACGCACCTAGGTGTGGCATTCAGCAAGGGAGATGATTGAAGCATGAGTGAAGGTCGCGGCTGATCTGGTACGTCAAGAAGGTCAAGACTGCCAAGCTGCAGGAGTTTCCATCGGCTGAACCACAAGTGTCCTCCACAATGTCACCATGATGGAGTTGTTGGATGTGAAATGAAGTGGCCAGCGAGGAAGAGAAGTAGAGCTCAGGAAAGAATGAATGCAGCCACCACATGCTGACATGTTGAGTACCTCTGAAAAATCATCAACCTTGTGGACCAACGAAAGTGATTCAAGGAACGATGTGTGCATGTACCGGATTTCACTAGCACAGATTTGTTTGTGAAGCCAACTTGCTTTCCCCTTCGGTGGCTTGGCTCAAGGTCGTTTGCAAACTCCAAACGGATGAGGCATAAAAGTAGAGGCAAGCCAGTGGCTTTTGTCTACAAGGTTTTGAAAGACTCTTGGAGCTCCAATTTTAGTCAGGCCCCACGATGCTTTTGGCTTTTCACTCAAGAAGCTGGATTTCCAGCTACCTTCCATGACCAGCACCTGCTATTGCAGCATGACCGCAAAGGCCAGGATGGGTACTTCAAGGATGTGGGATCAAACAGCAGACGTCCTTGATTGACACCTTATTTTTCCTCGTGAGGCTGTGTTTTCTTTGAACATGTTGAAATACACGGCCTTTGCAGCGCATTGCAGCCTTTTTCAGACTACTTTGCCTGGCAAACAAGTATTGCTGTAGTTTCCCACCAAGCCATCTATATATATATATAGAGAGAGTAGAGATGAGTACTGAGTAGAGTTTGGAAATAAGAGAGTTGTGCCAAGCTGGAGCACTTTACAAACCTCACTTCGCAGGCCATTTGTTTGCTGCTGCCCTTAGTAGGTGCAGCCCGTGCTGCACGTGAGGTGCCTTGATCGAAGAGTTGAGCTGCCCTCACAGTGCTTAAGCTTGTTTCTTTGTTTGTTAACCCAAGGATTCAGATACCTTTGGATGTACTTCCGGAGATACCTTTGGTCGCATATTACAGTATTGCTGGCACTTGCTTTTCTTGTTGACACCCCTGGATCCCCTTGACTTGGCTTAAAGTCTGTAAAAGGTCTTCTTGATTTCTCGCCATGGCCCTGGATTTTCGGAGTCTCTTCCATGCAAGTTGATATTGGCTCTTTGCCGGTTTAACTGGTTCTAAACTTTCCAAACTCTTTGCCGTTTCGCACGCCGGATTTGAACAGCCCTATCACTTCCAGATTCTTGGTGAGGCTTCTGGAATGGCTGGATGGGCACCCCCTGATGTTCTGAGGATGACACTGTAAAGACACACTGTAAAGAAAGATGAGCTAGCAGACCAAACATTTGTTTACCACCATCCATGCTCCTTGCAGCCACCCTTGTCATTTTCCATGTCAAAGAATTTCCAGAGAGCGCTGCAACGAACGTACACTAATTTGGTCTTGGGTGGTTTGATCTGAGTATTACATTTTTGGTGGGTGCGAGAAGGGCATTGGCCCAGCCATGGCACAGGCCCGCGCAGATTTGGGCATCTTGGAAGTGGAGCGCCCCCGATTGCAAGAGATGAAGCTCGATAGCCTTCAGTGTCTCAGCTCAAGGACTATTCAGCCGTAGAGCGATGGCTGGGGATCACCCTTACGTTTTCCCTCATTTGCACCCAAGAGAATCTGTCTTTGTACTGGCAAAAGCAGCAATGTCAAGCGAGGGCATGCTTTGGTATATACCTCTGCCCAGTGTTTTGCAGGTACTATGTAATTCCCAGTCTCACAGGTTCTGGGTATCTCAACCCAGAATTGAACAATTCAGGCATGTCGATTCCAGTCACGAGGCCATTTTAGACTTTTAGACGATCGATCCGGTTTCCAGAGGTTGAGGACACATCAGTGGCCATTCTGGCCATCTCAGTGGCCAAGAATTGATCGTCTCTTCCCCTATGTTGATGTGAGATGATTTCACCTCTGCACCCATAAGCCCCATGAGGCAAGTCATCAACTCCGCTGCTGCTGGAGAAACGCTGCTTTGGCGGAGGCTGACCGGGCAGCCTACGCAGGACAGGCCTCTGTCACAAAGAAAGGAACATGTGCTGCATGTCATTTTTGCTTCTAGAAGATGAGGAGAACGATGGACACCAGGAGCCCCTAGTAGCGTCCTTGCTCCTAGTAGCGGTGCCCTTTGCTCCTAGTAGCGTCCTTGCTCCTAGTAGTAAGGCCAGGAGCCCTTAGTAGCGTCCTTGCTCTTAGGTAAGTTGACAGACTTGCGTTCTGCGGGTGTAGGACCTTTGGACCTCCGGTCTTGAAGGGCAGGGGCTCCCAGTGGGGGTGCGGGCTGTTTGGGCGATTGATCCTTGGACCTGAATGGCTCGGAAGCGGAGACCTGTGAACTTCAAGTCTAGTAGCTTCTTGTTACTAGTAGTAATGCAGTGGTTCCTAGTAGCGATGCCCTTGTTACTAGTAGCGATGCACTTACCAAGTGGTGTTTTGAATGGCTTGATCCCGGAAACTATGCCCGTTGGTCGTTGATCTGCCGATTCGATTGGGATACTGAACTTCCAGCGAGTGAAGCTCTCATGAGGTACGATGTCAGTAGGACCTTGGAGGCGTACCAGATCGATTCCACTGCCAAGCTGCGACAGGCACGCATTGGACGAATGATGGGGCCCCAACACGGGACATTGGGGTTGTCGGGTTGTCTTCCCGCTGGAAAAGGACTTGTGGAGTTCCAGGCCTGTGGATTCTGCTTGGGACCAGTCCATCTTCATTCGACTTTTCAGCGAGGACTTTTTTGGTAGAGACAGTTACAAATCCTGCAAGAAATAGCGTTCAATTGGCACCATGGGAGGACAGACACACGCTCGGGAAAATGCGTACGGGATTGATTTGCGGTTTGCCACTCGCCAGCCTAAGCCAGGACAAAGGGTAAGTAAGGTGGTTTGAACATCCTGGGAGCCATCGCTTGTAGTTAGGAGGACAAAGTCTCAAAGCTCCGAAGACGTGAACGGCTCCAGCGACGAGTGCGTGACTGCAGAGTGCATTTGCCATTTACGGGAACGTAGAGTCACAGCTTGAGCAGTTCAAATGAAAGCAGGTACGCCTGGAAAGCGTCCTTGCCAGATTTCGGCCACAGTTGCAGCCCGACCCGCAATCAACTGCAATGTGGGATTGCCCCCCGATAAAGAAAACACCAAGAGGTGCCCTGTGATTCCAAGGGTTTCACACACAAGCCCCCCATAGAGGGGGGCCAAAATCTAGGGTCCATGACACACCCGCACGCACACACACCAGATGGGTGCCGGATGCCCTGCCTTCTGGAGGCGATGGGTGCTGCTGTGCAGCTCGAATGCTTTGGCGCGGTGCTGGATCCCCTGCACAGGCCCAGCTGTCGATTTTGGGGCACGGGCCAGCTGAGGTGGAAAAACATGGCGGATAACCATTGTGCACTTTGATGATGACTTGAAGAGAGGGAACAGATTTAATACATGCAGTCTAGTTTAGAAAACTAAATTGTTTGTTCGTGCAAAAGCAACGGATCATAAACTAATCTCATAAAAAGTGCCTGGCCAGGTGCCATAAGGCTTTCCCAATTTATGACTTCGTGCTGACTGCAATGCTGATCACGTCTCCCGGCAGTGATCAAACTGTTCTGTAAGATTCAGATTTTCTCTCTTTGAGCTGAGGCTCTTTGCTAGTGCGATGTGCGCTTGCTGTACTTTCCCCAAGAAGGAGTTCTTCTGAATCCGGGCACCAATGTACAGATCCCTGCCTTAACTTGGCTGCACCAGCTTGGCACTGCCCCCATCACGCACCAGACGAGCGGCAAAAACAGCCATGTGTCAGACAACATCAGACGTCTTACTTATAGCCTTCTGAAGCTGCTTGTTTCTTTCAGGATGCACTTGCAAGACCGCATTCTTTCTAATCTTGAATGGAACGTCCCCGTGCCGTTGTTCTGATTGCGTTGGTAGCTTCGCACACAATTTACGCATGGCTCAGCATTGGTTCAATAGTATATAGCTGTGAAGGGGTGGCTGCCATGAGGCCTTCGAGACACATGATTTGCTCACAAGTTCACAGGTGACGTAATCGATTTAGCATGCCCAGAACACTGAGTATGGAGTACAAGAATGAGCTTGGGCTATTGGCACTCAGATACACCTTGGAATTACTTGCACCGCTGAACAGTTGGGCAGGTTTCTTCTCGTTGCTTTGTCTGCTCTGCTTGTCCACGCGCAGGAGATCGGGATGTACAAATTCCTTTTTCTGGAGTCCTTTGGTAGTCTTATATCAATCAACGGGGCGCAGATGGGTCGTCTTGCAAGCCATTTGGAACGCATGCGAGAGAGGTCTTGAGCCACAAAGGCCCACATATGAGAAAGTCGACAACGACGCCAGGAGAAGCTCGTGGGTGAGTTTGGTCAGGAGGTCTTGGGCTGCAGATGTGCTGGAGGCAGATGTCTACCAAGCTGGGTTGTGCCAGACGAAGAAACACATGTGCACAAGGTGAAACATGGAACACAAGTGGGTTTCCGGAGGTTCCATTTATAGCTGTTGTGGAGAGCATGTGAGCAAATGCAGAAATTTGTCAGGCCACATGTGGTTTTAGCATGTTTTGGCAGGAGAAGGGGTCCGCTGCAAGAATCCAGTAGACGAGACTAAATCACGTGCTGCAGTGAACCTGCAGAAAGTAGACCTACTTTCAAGCCGCCACGTCTTCGGTGCCCTGCTTCCTCCAGTGTTGCAGGTAAGACTACACATGGCAACTGTGGGTATCACTTCCACTTCATGTCCAACGAGGAGAAACCCTGGTGTCGAACAAAATTCGGTCGGGGCCTAAGCAAAGTTCGTTCCGCAAGAGAGCTGTTGTGCGGCTTTGTTTTTAGCTTTCAGATGCTGATTAATTGCTGGAATATGACGTGCGCACGCTTCATCCATGGATTTCATGTGCTGTCATATGCGCGTATTATATCTTCGACGCCGACATGCCCTTTTTGACAGAGATATGTTGGAAGATGCATGTCTTCACGGGTGTTGTCATGAGTTTCCCACAGGTGTTTCATGGTGTTTCACATTGTTCTCGCACATTGTTCTCGAACATTGTGAGAACATTGGGAGGCTGTGGACACTACTCCATCAAAGGACCCTGGGTCTACTGTGACGAACAGAGCGTCGAGCGCCGTAGAGCCGACGAGACTTGGATGAGCGATGATGAGCGCCGAGCGCCGTGGATGGCTGCGATGAATGGTTTGGGGTCTAGTGACAAAGAACATGAGATCGGTTTCCGCCCACTTTCTTCTTGAAACTTAAGAGGATGGCCTTAAATCATGAGCCCTTGGGTACATGATTTGAAAGCAAGGATGGCAAGCTGTACAACGCCCTGCAGTTTAAGAAGTTCTTCGACAAGGATCGATTGCCGTTTTTTGTTCATGTGATGAAGAGTAGGGTTCATGTTGTCATGGAAATAGATTTGGCAGCCGTTTTGAAGGAGGGGAAGGATAAGTGGACAAACGCAAGCAACTTAGCGCCGGATTTGTTAAAGTCCAACTCGTCGAGCCCAGATGCAGAAATGAAATCTCTCAGGCTGCCAAGTACATCGAAACGCGAGTTGCTCGGAACGGCAAGGCACGGTTCAGAATCGGAGTCATGCGCCTTATTTTTTGAACGTTTGGCAAGGCCTACACTGCAGGCGAGTTCCGTGACTACTACATTGACTACTTGGGCGAGGCACTAGCAATTGAGCTTGAGAAGATGATCATTGAAACAAAGCGGTCTGGGCTCATGTGAAGACATAGCTTGGTCTTATGTCTCACCTCTAGATTGGCAGGAAGGCTGGGTGAAGGAATGGTCCTCTTCGAAGGAGGAGACCTCACTTTGGCTTCCAACCTGTGGGTAACCAAGCAAGCAAAGTAAGTGGATTGTTGAAGTCGTACGCCAGGAGTCTCGCAAGGCCAACGATGGGAAGTTCTACACCTTCGACGAGTTTGCCTGAAACTTGGCCAATCCGCTTTTCGGATGGGTTGCGACAGAGAGAGGTTCTCCGGACATATGCCTGTCATGGGCGCGAAGCGAATGTCATGGGCGCGAAGCGGCTTGATTCGCCCAGATGCAGCACTATGGCAAGGAGAAGGCATGGCAAATGCGGCTCGGCTCCACGCTGGACGCAGATCGAACGAACTCGGGTGGTTCGGCTGGTTCGGCTGCAGTCTGCAACGGAGTTCCAGCAAAAGTGGCGCAGTTGTTCTTGTCTGGCGGATGATAAGAAAGGCTCCCATATTGAGTTTTGTCACAACTCACAACTATATAGTTTCTGCCTTCTTGAGAAGAGGTTTTTGCGAGGACACATGGTTTCACTCAGTCAGGTTGAAGCATGTTGAGACAAGTTTGTAGCCTACAAGATTCAGTTGTTAAGGGGATAACTGAACAAGTGCAAGCCAACTTTGCTGGCATGTTGCATTCTGCTTTCTTAGTGTTTTTTTTCTTTAAACGATTACTTGGATTCTCTGGCTGTCGGGAGTGACAGGTGGGACACTGCCACCAAGCTGCGCCCAGAGCTTTGAAAGGCGGACGTGGGAGCCAGGCAGGATTCCCAGACCTCGGACGTGGGCAAGATGGGCCATCTACTGTAACATGTCCATTTCTGTGCAGGTGTCCGATACCTCTGACAGACCTTCCTAGACCGCCTGATGAGCCCTTTGGCTTGTAGCCCAAGAAGGCAGTAAGGACAGCTTGGGCTCGCTCTGAGCAAGGTGGATTGATTGAACCAAGGCGGTTCGTTCCTGCCGTCTCATTTGGCCACTTGGGCAGAATGAGTGCCTCATTGGTGCTCCGCACGAACAGGCGGTGCTCAGTGGAAAAGACCGTTAGCACTTGACGTCGTTTTGTTCCTTTTGGGTTCGATTTTGGCAGCTGCTTGGCACGAGAACTACAACTGCAGCGTTGGCTGGAAAGCGAGACGGGCCTCAGTTGTGACGGCCGCGATGGCTGGGGGGGCCCATGGGAGTGATGTTTGGAGATGGACGATGGTTGTCTGTCCCACAGAAAAATAGAATCTGTTGGGATACGGATAATATGCTGGTAGCTCTCTGACGCCGTGCACCATTCGCACTCTGTCTCAATCCAAGACCACACAACACAAAAAATAACAGGAGAAGTAGGACATCTGAGTAGGTGCAATTGAAGACCGAGCTGCTAAATTGATCGGAGATCTTGTCATGCACCACATCCTCGCCGGTCTCTTCAGGATGAAACTCTGCTAGGATGGATCTTCTTGCTGCTTGATTCCAATAATTGATCGGCTTTGTGTTTGTTTCCGTCATGATGATGATGATGATGATGATGATGATGATGATGATGATGATGTGATTTTAGTATTGGTCTACTGCTGCCAGTGGTTTCTTGTTTTCTCATTTTCTCTCACAATACTTCTATACTTGCTGGCTGAGCATGAATGCAAGAACTATCAAGCACTCCTTAATATAGGCCTTCTATACTTGCGGCGTGATCAAATCCAAGGATAGGAGTCATGATATGGCGAATGCTCCTGAGATGTCACTGCTCGCAGAGACTTCTTCATATGTGTCGCTTGAATTGAATTGGGTGGGTAAGCACCCAATCGACAGCGTTCCCAATCGTGGGTGCAAGTAATTAAGGCGGACCTGTGGCATGGATGTTCCAGTGGCATCTTGGCTTAGCATCATGCAGATTCCCATGGGGCGACGCTGAATGAATGGCAGTAAACCCCAGAAGATGTGCGCAACTCATTGAGCTCTGTCATGTGGGAACATGATGCAGAAAAGTGATGAAAGGCGCCCACATCTTCTCCCAAGGTACTATTTGACCTTTGCCTTCCTCGTTTTGTTGCTGGTGACTTTCCTGCAGATCAACTCATGGGCCATGTCCTCCCTTGATGAAAGTCCTTCAGGGCGATATCCTGAAGGGAAGCTTCCCTGCTTTCTTCCAGAGGTCAGAACATTCTATGACATTGTCAAGTACGACTACATCGGCTTTCATTTCCTTAGTGACGCTTCTTGGCCAAGCTGGGCTGCTCAATTGCAGAGACAACTTACTGGGATAACTCCCCAGAATTCGGATTCCAAGGACAAGATTTACAACCAAATAGAAAAGATTTGTGATGCCAAATCTCTCTCTGATGATGCTTGCGATGCCCTGAGGACACGGAACTCGTCCAAACAATATTGAACCAAAACCAATTGAGCGTTGAACGAAACTTAGCCTCTCTGTCCCTGGCCACTCAGCCGTCCCTGGAGGAAAGAACTTCGTATTCCTCCATGGTTACACAAGTTCTCCCTGGTAGCGCCAGTGCCGTGGCCTATGATTTGGATGATTTGCTGGAAGTTCAGTAAAACATTGAGCCCAGTCATGAGAGTGCTCCTTTCCAAGCACAAACTAGAAGGGTTCATGTCGGAGGATTGTATTGTCAGCTTTTCAAGAAGAGCACGGAAAGCATTAGATTGTATATATATATGTATATATATATATATTAGATTTTTGATCTGGGTCATCCAGCACATTTGACCAATTTCTTGACCTCCGACAGTTTTGAGAAGGTCTCATTTTGTTGGAAAGCAAGGTTTGTGGCCTCCTTGGCTTTGCGATCCTTAGCATGCGGCTGGGATACTTTGTCAAGAAGAATGCCGACGTGAAGCTAAAAGTGAAGCAGGGAGAACAGGTGAGATCTGAGTCTTCAGTTAGGGATCCAGATAGGATTAGTTGTGCGCAATAACATATTCTTTGCTTCTGAGATCAATTCCTAATCCTAACCCTGACAGACTGGACTCAGCCTTCGAACTCAATGCTGTTTTCCACAGGCCTTTCCTGATGACGACGAAGGCCACGAGGTCCAAGTCGCCACAGATGGGATGCCCTGGAAGCTGGCGGATCGAATGGATTGGGTCGGGCTCACAGGATTGTGTGGTTTCTGCAACGTTTGTGTGGCGAGGTTTCGCTGTTAAGCTGCTGTGGTTGGTTTCCACCACTTCCTCAACTGAGGTGGTGATCATCTTGGGCACACCCTTGATCTTTATTGCGCAGGGCCAAGAACGGTTTGCTCATGGAGCGTACATGGTCTTGGGGTGGAAAGGATCCAAGCGTTCAAGCACGCCCCAGCCACAAAGGTCATGTCAATGCGCTCGTTGATTCGAATTTGGACTGTGATGACTGGAACTGCATTTCGCGGCGACAGATCATGGGTCCCTCAACAGCAGCTTCAGAACTTCAGAGAACCCAGCTAGCACTGGTACACATGTTGTCATAGTTGTTGGTAAAGATCTTAAGTCTGGTGTGACAATACCATGGTGACAATACCATAGTTATTGGTATTCTTCAAGTCCTGGTGTGGTGTACCAAGATCCAAGACATGTGGAAAAAAAACTCCGGCGCCCTAAGGAAGAGATGTCGCGTTTGGAAATCGCCGCTGGGCGGATTGGGGCGATCGACTGGCAAACAGGGCCGACCATGGGCCCAAAACGTTTCAGTTTTTGGTGGGTCAGGCCACCTACCAAATGGACCTGGAATTGGCTGCCACTTGGCACTGACAACTTAAGGTTCAGGTTTAAGCATCTCACCGGAAGCATTTTCTGTACAGGTTTATCAGTTGCTTAGGTGGGATTTCAATTCTATGCATGCTTGATGTTTGGGCTGCTTTGCACCAGCTTTCTCCAACACTCTCGGATGGTTAGTATACGAGACACACAGTACTCAGCGAAGCGGTCCCTTCACAGCATTTGAGGACAGACACAACTGTGGCAAGTGTAACCTTTGCAGAACATTTCTTGTTGTTTGCGAAAAGCTTGGCACCAACAGTTTGAGGTACATGAGAATTGTGGCCTACACCGCAGTGCAGGGCGTCTATGCCTTTGTCTTCATTGGGGTGCTCCGAACTATCTTCGACATAGCAGCTGCTTGCTGCAGAGTTAGCAGTAGCATCATTTTTGTTTATGTGCGTGTGTGTCGATGGATGGACAGTAGGATTCAGTGAGGATCTCCCTGTAGCTTACCCTGTTTGCATGCTGAAATGTTTGTATGTTTACAGTCTGTCTCGCAGCCATCCAAAGCCTAGATTGCAAATGAAAGGTGACCTACATCTCTGAGATGCCCAAGTATCACGAGCAGGAGACGTACCGAACAGATGCGCTTTTCACACTGGATAAATTTGATCATAGAAAAGGAACGTGAGCTCAAGGTTTGCACGCCAAATGTGAAAGTCCTTGGTCAACAAGAAAGGGAGAGGTTTTGGGCGATTCAAGTCTGCAGGCACAGATAATCCAAGACAAGGTCCTCGGCAAGGCGTGGCTTTCAAGCATTCTACTGTAAGCATCTGAAAGCTACATGAAGACTTGTAAAGGAGTGAAACAAAAGTATATAATATGAAAAAAAACATGTTTTGAGAAGTCTTGTGCATGCAAATCTATATTTTGGTCAGCGCCTCTCCGGAGCCCTCTTATCAAGGTTTTTCACGGCGTGCTAACCAAACATCTCTGGACCATTGATGGAATGAAGGACTCTTTCAACATACTGCAGATACCAATGAAGCTACAATGCCGAATATCTAGATCATCCGTTTGATGTGTCTTTCAAGTGTTCAATTGTCTTGCTGAAGCCAAACATTGGTCACCTGGGGTTTGGGACATGTTGAGACAGGTGGCCACAATCTTCAGCTTCGTTACGCTGCTCTGTATGCTCAATATGTTTCTCATCAGCCCCTTGGCCAGTCCCAGTCTTGTCTTGTCTTGTCTTGCCAAAGGCTTGAAATCCATCAACATATCCTGAACAACAAGCAGCAATCTTGCAGGGAATGCATACTGTGAAGAGGAATAGTCTGAATATGTCTGAATACTATTGAAATCGTGTTCAATTTTATGTTCTGTCTTTTGTTACACGTTGACCTGTCCGACGTGTCTCACCCAGGTCGAGTTCCTGATATAGCCAGAGGCCTCAATGGAGCCAATCCCAAGCAGCTCGAACGAAGCTGAAGTTTGAGAGATCTCATCCCAAAGAAGGGCTTTTTTGGCAGGCTTTTTGGGACTCAATCCTTTTGGGGCTCATCCTTTTGGCTGGCACGGCTGGCGACCGATGGAGACGTTTTGGGTGAGTCACTCAGGTTTACGAGTGTTCGACTCTTGCTGCTCATCGCGCAGATTCAGCCCACGGTGCTTCAAGCAATCACAGCTTCTTGGCCGAGAGGACACGGGCCGATCTCGGTTGGCCAAGTCGAGTTTCTTCGGTGGACACTTGTTTTCACGAGGTTGGCTCGCCGCTCTATAAGAACGTGTCGGAAAACGTTGCAAAGTTCCACTTGGAGGCCAGCACATGCCTTTTTTACCACGGGTAGGGCCTTTTCCAACCATGTATCTGGGCACTGACCACATTTTCGTACTTCAGACTCCACAAACCAGTTTTTCTTGCGAACCCCAGCAAATCATATTGTGATCATGAAGGAGGAGTGGTGTACAGGCAACGCATCAGCCCTTCCAGGACATGTTCCAGAAGTGGACATTTACCGAGAAGCAAGCGTTGCTGGCGCACGCTGCAGCGTTGAATGTTGAATGCACCTTGCCCGCAGTCTTTGTACTATCAGAGTTATACTGGGCAGAAGAAAAGCACTGCACTTCGACTCTCATGGCTCTAATGCTGTGCTCTTTCTGAGGTTTGGTCGTGGCGCAACCTGGCACAAGAGGGGGTGAAGGAGCATCCCGGGAATGGCCAGTGTACAACGACTGAACCCTGTGATTTCTTTTCTCTTGCCGAGATATCCATACAGCTGTACAGCCTGGACAGTTGTGCCCAATGGGCGGTTGTGTTGCTAGCAATCATTTATGCTTCCAACTATTGAAGTCCCTGTTTTTTTCCTTTGATACTTGCTTGAAGCTTCGGATTCGCAAGTCGCTGTCTGTCTTGCTGGGAAAGCTGCATACACTTGTTATTAAAACCTTTGCCCTTTACTGGCCAACCACAAAAAGATAGAGAAACTTGGACACTCAACACAATGAACAAGTTGCAGTTGAAACGCGCTACCTTTGCTGCTTGGCAGAGTGCCTCGCATGTTGTCTTCAGGTGCCTCACTTGGCTACTATGGAGACCAGATGACAAGCGAGACAAGGCGCGGACCCGGTCTGAACGAATCGACGAGCTTGGAAAAAGCTCTTGGGGTCAATCGCACCCTGCATGGGGCACAGGATCTCTGGAAGTGTTTTTATTTCGCAGCTCTGCTGAGAGCATTTCATATTTGGCCCATACTGATCTAATACCCATCTCCTGTAGATTTTCCCTGTTTTGCGCAGAGAATTGGCTGGTGTACTGAATGGCCCTGTTTGATGTGCCAGGAACTAATGAAGGACCTGGCGGCCGAAGATAAGGGTTTCCTGGCAGAAGTTCTTGGATCAAAAGGGCGACTGCATGTCTTGATGTGCTGATGTCAGCAAAGTGTGCGAGGCATTTTGCTTGGTCTTGGTATTTTTGTTCCAAAGTCTCGCCTTTCCGAGTTGCACAAGCGCGGGAAATTGAAGATGCATACCAGCTGCTTCTTGATGCCTAGAGCTCCGTATTCGTAGGTCATGGGTTTAGTAGTAGAACACAGATGCTGATTTTTCATCTCGTGTCATGGGATCCTCTGCCACTCATGCCATGCTGGCTATGACTCCTCTGCTACCTCTGGGATCCTGTAATGCGATGATGTGATCCTCCTTGAATGTCTGGAGGCACAAGTCGAATCCAGGCATTTGGAGATCGATCTCATGACCTGGATTTCATTGGATTTTGCATGATTTGGTATGTTTTGATTGATTTTCATTAGAATACATTATAACATTATATAGATGGCCTTGGTTTGCTGCAATGTCCGGGTAGTGAGAACGGGAAGCCAACGGTCTAGGCCAGGCCATCCCAGAGTTGGGTGGACTGATGCGGCAAGGTGGATCGATTCGCTGAAGTCAAAGGCCATTTCTATCAGTGTGTCATAGCGTGTCCTGTGAACACCTGCTCAAAAGCCTGAAGAGTTAAGAGATGTTAAGAGATGTGAGTCTTCCCGTGCTCAGCTGTTTTGGCTCATAACCATGGAGCTGGCCTTTGTTGCACCAAGACTGGTGTCTGCTCCAGTAGGCACCGTGCCATCGTTGCCATGGCGTAGGGTGACCAAAGCGGATTCCCAGGCGCCTGAGCAGTTTGTTGTCAGTCCCTTCAACCAACTGTAGAAAATATTGGAGATCTGGATGAAATTAGGATCATGAACACGTTAAACATTAGAGGTAATCTGAAAGATAATAAACCATGATAAACCTCAAGCAACCGCTCTCAGACACATCCCAGCCTGTCAGTCCCCCTTTGTTGGCAGATCGAGCTTGGCAGCGCCACGTTGGCCACTGCAGCCACAGCTTGTGCGTTGAGCGCCAAGGTGGGGGGGGTAGCCGTTGCCACCTCTTTGCAGGAAAGGGCATCTCGGAGATCCGAAATTTGGTGTCTTTTAATAGTGTGGCTACGCTTTCAGGTACGGATCCACTTGCAAAAAGAGGAATTGGTCAGGTTTAAAGGCAACCAAGCATACCAAGCCTCGTGCGGACGGGCATCAAAGTCTGAAGAACTCGAGCAGAAGAAGCCTGTTCGGGTCCACCATGTTTGAAGATGCCTCGAAAACAGTCGACAACCTTCAGTATTGTGATCTTTCACATTTTTGGTTGCTCGTTACACGATCTGCTTGAAATCCCCAAATAGGAAGCAAGTTCGTTTGAGGTTGAAGAATCATCGTCCCTGGCCAATGTCAAATCGGTAAAATAAAGGCGAACCGGCGCTGGCTGCGCAAGTCGAGACGCCACTCTGTGCGGGTACGGCGATGCGCTGTGGAAGAGTTGAGGAAGATGGTGCACTTGGGAGGCGAGGTCTGGTGACACGACAACTCTGATTCTTTTTGGATGGAGGCCAGTAATAGGAGGCCATCGCTGGTAGGTTGGAGGCCATCGCGATTAGGTTGGAGGCCATCGCTACTAGGTTCCTTTAGAACCAAACCGAAATCGCGCCAAAGGCCGATAGAAAAAGCTTGCACAGTTCTTTGTTTGGCCAAGCCGCCTTTGGCCAAGCAGTGGCCAGGCACACCAGCAGAGAAAGCGTTGGCCGTAAACCTGGATGACAAGTTCTATGGCAGTTTCGCAGAGATTGGTGCTGGCCAAGAGGTCAGACGGAGTATCTAGCTGAGGACCTGCTACAATTATAGCTAGGAGTCCTGCCAAATGACATGAATAAAACCTGAGTTACTTTCATCCAGCTGGTAAGACTCGATTGATCAGCCGCATCCAGCAGAGCGTCTTGCAATCTGTCTCTTCGTGCCCCAGGTGTCTCGCACGTTTCTGCAAGCTGGAGCAGCAGCTGGAACTGTGGCACGGTCCATCTCCGCTTATGACATGAAGATGTCCGATGTCAATTACGGCCAGGTGCCAGTTTCATGATTGGATACATGGGATTCTGATCATCAGATCGTTCCATTCTCATCAGATCGTGTCGACCACTTTGGCTTCCTGAGAGGCCAAGCGCTACGTCACGCGGGAGCGCTTGGAACAGATGCTGAACACCGAGTACGACCTTGTCGAAAAGACCTTGCGAAAGCAGAGAGGTGCAGATCCTGAAGCGAATTTGCTTGGCAGCTTCAGTTATGTTCATCCAGTTCAGCTCCAAGATGCTGTGCATTCTTTTTGATATTGATTTCATCTGGAGCAGAACATACTTGTCAGTTTTCCGCAATCTTTGTCCCTGGCAATTGCTTTTCGCAAGGATGTGCAGGCAGTGGAGTGCTATGGATTCTGTTCTTTTTGTATGGTTCTCGGTGTACCCTAGAAGTGTTAGACTGAGACCAAAAAGAGTTCTTACTTGCACACTAGCACCATTTCAAGCTAAGTAGAATGTTCTTCTAGGGGTAACCCACAACTTTTTACAAGGTGATTCATTTTCCTGCCATCCAAAGAAAGATGCCAATCGGCCACACTTCCAGGTGACGATGCTTGCTTCTTCGCTTTTGCCACCACGGTTGCTGCCAAAGCCTACAATTCAGATCGTGAGTGTGAAGGCAACTGCCGAAATAAACCAGTATAGAAAACGAAGAACACCGCCCCTTGTTGAGGCGCAATCGTTTTGGGGGTGGGCTTTGCAAGGCCAATAGGTCGAACAGTGATCAGTGCTCTGAACTTATCACCAGCCTTACCTTTACTTAGGTGCTAGAACCCTATCAAGTTGAATCACGTATATATATATATATAGTATATATGTCTACAAACTGTGAACGGGACATTGAAACAGCTTGAGAGTACCATTTTGCGTGTGTTTTGTTTGTTTGTTTGTTTGTTTGTTTTTGTTTTTCAGTATGGCATGTGATGAACACAAAGAGAATCTTTTAGGCTGGGTGGGCTTGACATACCAGTCAAAGCCGGGCGAAGAAAGGAGCACTGTGTGACTTGAAAAGCAGACAGCTGTTCACGGCATTTTAGCTCGGCTCGGACAGGGGAGCTCAGCTCAACCAGTCCCAAGTTTTTTGTTTGACCTTATCGCTGCCTGAGGATACTTCACATCCGAATGAGCCAGCCAACTGCGCAGTTGCAAGGGGAGGCCATTGGAGTTTTGGGCAACTTGAATTCTCTTTCAGTACCACTGTGGCAGATTGTCTTTGTTTTCTGCTCTGGCAAAGAGCACACCTTGGCAAAGGGTTCTGTGGTGAGTCTTCCTTGTGTGTTGTGTTGAACGCGCTTTTTCCTGTAAGCTTTCTGTATACTCCCCCCCAACAACTGGGGAAGCACAGCTAAACCATATTTCATCTTATGCAACTTTTGCCGTCCACATTGACACGACACACAACTTATGATTTTACGGTAAATTGTTTACCAGATGGAATCGTAGAGATGGAATCCTATCTTCCGTGATTCGTGATTGTTGGAGCGAGTCTATGTGTTTGTCGAACATAATTTGGCTCGCATTCTGCGGCGTAATTGATGCTGAGCGGCACTTTTATATGTAAGCCCCAAACCTCAAGATGTCAAGCAGTTCATGTGATTGAAGTCAATTAATGCATTGATCGAAACATGTCGATACGAAAAATGCAGCTAAGGCACCAACTTGATCTATCTCTGCAAAGGACTGTTCTGCTCTCAGTCGCCACAAGTCCAAGCACTTCAGCCGTGCTTGGCCGAAGTTCAATTTGCACGCACAACCTATTAGAGGAACATGTTTGATTCAATTCATGCAGTGGTGGCAAACACAATCAGACATGAAAGGGATCCAGGATTCCTTTTCAAGGGCTCAATTGATTCATCCCCCCCGCAACAGGTACCACAGAATGATTGAGAGTGATTGTGCTTTGCCACACCCCTACTGATGTTCAGGGAAGCGCCTCCAACAGGACTCATTCGGACATTCTCTTCCATCCCTGCAGTACTGTAGCTTTTGTTCCCACCCTGGGCATATGTGGTGTTGACCGCACCGGCGCGATCTTGTCATCCATGTCTCGACCTCCTGAGGTCAGATCCGTATCTCATCACATCCTTCCTTTTGGATGGGATGGCGCTCAGAGACTTGGCTGAACAGATCGTCGTTTGGGTCGTCGGTTTGAACTGATCGTGGTTTGATTTGCACTTAATGTTTGGAGTGTGATATTCAGTGACACACATTTAGAGGCAACGGTGTTTGCAAGATCCTGTACCAGATCCTTCCGTGGAACATTCTTGACCTGGCCAAGGTGACGAACCAGGCGGTGGTGGGCGCATTGAGGTGGACTATGTGGATTTCAAGGCTCGGTGTAGCAAACCTCACACTTGCAACTTGAAGGTTGTGACCAAGATTTCAAGACCCGCTTGGGGAAACCACGGTTCACCGGTGTTTCACCGGATGGGAAGTCACATCGGTGTGGGCTTTGCGTCAGGGTCCGCCCTTCCAATCCGTGGACCCGCGGCTTTTGGCTTTCCGCCTGATCCAGCTGCGGATCGCCAACGGGGTGGCTCGGCGCTGGATTCGGGTGGATGCTCCATTCATGAAGAAAACGAGGTGTGCTCTTGAAGTAGACCTCACACGCTCAGCTGAGGTGATTTTGCAACCTGATAGCAATGGAAACTACAAGATGGCTGTCCCAAACAACTTTCTCTACAAATGTCCGGTGCCTGTGTTGCATTGGAAGAATCAGGTTATTGGAGGGCGTGTCTTCTTTGATTGAGAGATGTGGACACCAATTATGATCAAGCAAAAGCATCAGAAAGACATCCATTTTTGGTCCAAGTTCTTTTGGTGGCTTGGGTTTCTCCAGAGTTCTCTGTCCCAGGTGATTGTGGAGAGGTCTCGCTTCAAGCCGGTGACCTTCATGCACACGGAAGTCCTGGAGGCCACATCGTCGTGGTCGCTTGCGATCAGGGATTGGGTCTTGTCGGATGTGGAAGACAAGAATTTTCACGAACATCTTCCATATATGTATATATATATATATGTATACATGTTGTTTTGTTGTTTTTACAAAGGGAACTTGAAGATTCAGGATTTCTTTGTGCCTCCGGTTTTGCGATTTGGAGAGACATCAGCAAGAAAAACAGCTTCAATCAGGCGACTTGATCAGATGACGTGAGCACCGTATCGGCCGCCACCGGTTGATGTGCGATTGAAGATAAATAACACCAAAAAAGACCCAAACATCCCAGAATCACGATCTGCCGACTTTGGCATCGAGCTTCAATCTAGCCTAACGAGGTTCATACCAAGCTGGTTTCTTTGGACAAACTATTTCCAAGAATCGATTGCTTCTCTTGAAGGCAAAGGTGATCTGCCCCCAAACCGATCCAAAACCCGAAGGCCACGGAGCGGAAGCTGCGGTCCGAAGGCGGTGAGGATAAACCGCCCTTGAGCGTGATGAACCTCCAGAGCACCAGCTGCATGGGACGAAGAGATGAAAAAAAGCAGACCTCCTTGAAAAGAAGTCTAACAAAAGGGGCCGAAACAACTTCTGTGAATTTTGTTCTTCTCCTTTTCAATTCTTTTTCACCTAGATAGTGATAGTCCGGACTGCTGGTTGATTCGGCGGTTCGGCGCCTCACAGTTTGCTCAGGATCGATGACCTCACGGTGCCGGTCTCGTGGCAGGAAACAAAGGTCAGATTGGACCGGATGAAGGAAATCTATGCGGCGGACACCTATAGCAGCTTGGCAGCAAGATCTTGACAGCTTTGAAGCGGGTTCGCTTCAGATTTGATTCGCCCTTTCACATCTAAAAAGACTCAGCAAATCTCAGAAACCTCATAGATCAGCTGGAGACCTGTGAAAGAGGAAGTTTGCAACGCACTTACACACACACACACACATCAGGCCAATGCATACTGTCTGCGTGAGATGCAAGAGTATGAGGAAGCCACACTTTCCAACGCGTGGTGCACACATTGTTGACTGCAAGTTCCTTCCTCTCGCAAGCTAGCGTTTTGTTTCTGGTCAAGTCAAATTTGAAACAACGCACCCAGGGGAGTGGCAGGGAGTCAGGTTGGCAGAATTTCTTTCCAATTGCCCACTAGAATCAGGGCCAGCGTGGAAGCATCCTCCCATTTGTTGGAAACAGCAAGCTGGTAAAGTTTTGCCTCGAGGAGATGGGAAACTCAGCATGGAAGAGTTTACAGCTTTGGTTGATGGAAGCCTCTCGCAGGACTTTTTGTGGGTGAACTGTATCAGTGGAAATCACTGCGCCTGAGAAATCCATCCAGAATAGATATTTGATTAGGTCTTTCAGCAGCTGGCTAAGAGTTGAGAGGTGAGGTTTTTAGGGGAAACACCTCTCTCAGGGCAAGCTGTCCATGTGAGAGACCCTCTGACGGCAGGAAGAGACCCGAAGCATTTTCAATGAGCTGTCTATGGGCGGTGATTCGATTTCGGTGGACGTTTCTCGGCAAGAAGAACGTCGTTGTCTCAGCCCTCCCGGGCCGCCCGGGACTTCCTTTGTGCGAGTCTGAGTCCATCTGAGGCGCTCATGAACATCACGAATGGGGACGACAGTACCTTGACGAGTTTATTACTTTTTCAGCCAAGCTCTGAGCCAGGTCGGTTGGGAGGTTCTATAGATCTTTCATGATTATTCTATGTCCATGAGACAGGTCTGTTCGAAAACTCCTCTTCGTAGCTCTTGCTCAATCCGTGTTTCAACATCTTCTTTCAGATCCATGAACTTTGCGTTCGGAAACGTGGAACAATCAGCTGGCATATCAGCTGGCATTAACAGCCGCCTTGTCTCAGCCAGCCTAAACCATTTGCCAAGAAATGGCGGTTTGATTTAGGTTTTGCTTATTGACTCTTACCGTCTTACCAACAGCCTGCATTCTATTGTAGCTTCTTTGACGGATTGACCTTGTAGACCATTTCGTTCTCAGGTGTCTTGGCCTCGGACTTCATTGATCGCATGGAGCTGCTGCAGGAATTGAATTATCCTATTCTTCTCTCCAACATCAAAAGGACAGGGACTTGCTACCTGCGACTGGTGTAGCTTGTTATGCTTGTTCTCCTTTCACTTCGGTGTCGACGCTTGACGAATCCTTCCGCTGCGCGGATTTGTTTTTGTTTTGGTGTTCGAGGACTCACCAGTTGGTCCGCTATATCTCCAGACACTTGGACAACCGGGATACGCATTGGGATTTGTGGCGGCCACACTGAAGGGTGTTGCTTTTTTGAGGGATGCTCCATAGCGAAGAAGCTGATCCTCCAGTCTAGTGATTTCCTGTTGAGAGCATTCATTGGCTTCCAAGGATATACGAACCGACAGATCATCATAGCACTGGGAGGTGGCGGCTTTTCCTTGCAGCGAGCGTTGTTTGATCCAAAGAGCTACACGAACGAGGAGGTGCAGCATGGGATGATGGGCCAAGCAAGGAACACGGCGACTTAGGCGTCTCGCACCTACACGACTCAACAGGACCAACGACTTCCAGTCCCAAAGACTCCAAAGAATCTGAAGATGATTCGGGCAATGCAGGACACAAAGAAAAAAGAAAAACCAAGCATAAATTGAACACCATCCGTGCACAGAATGCAGAACAAAGGAGCAAAGCAAACAGGACCTTTGAAGAAGAAAACTCAATTGGGTGTTTTGTTTTGCAGTCAGGCTTAGCCAGGTAGACTTAACGATTCTTTTTTGGGAATAGTTTTGCATAGTTGCTTGTGTCCTGCTTGATGACAGCTCCAAAACTCTTCTTACATTTTGTTGCTTTTCACAACGCGATCACCTCCTCCTTCCAGTTTCTTTATCTGTCCTATGTTTACACAGCATACCGAAACTCTGTTTCTACCCAGCTTTGACAACTAGCAGCAGATATTTCCACCTGTCACAGCCACAGGGTGGCATGCTTCGAGCGTTCGGAAACCTCTTTGAAAGTAGAGACTTGGCATGCCGCTTGAGTGAGTCCTTTGAAGCAAGAGATGCTGTAGCTGGGACTGTTTTTTCCCCAGATAGCTGCAGGCTTTAGGGGTTTTAACTTCTCAATAGTGTGGCTCTGGATTGGCGTTTTGGTTTTGCGGGGGGTGCTGGAGGTGCTGGCTGTGGATCAGCGTTTCGGTTTTGCGGGCGCTGCTGCCATGCTGGTGCTGGTGCTGGGTCGGCGTTTTGTTTTGCGGGCGCTGCTGCCATGCTGGTGCTGGCTTTGGATCGGCGTCT